TCTATTTATTTGACACACTGAAACCTTGATCTAACGAATTTAATGTTTTTCTTTCCAACACTTCCCCTAAAACACAAAATTCTTGTAACAAATAACAGATATACCTAACATAACTTCTAACCAATTTCAACTTCAATCATTCCAATTTTGGTTCGAAGTTCTTGAAAACGGGGTCTTGCAATTGGTTTTGTTAAAATATCTGCCAATTGTTTTTTACTAGATACATGTTCAATCTTCATTTGACAATTTTGCACTCTTTCTCGAATAAAATGTGCCCTAACATCAATATGCTTAGAGCGCTTATGAAAACTTGGATTTTTAGCAAGTTTTATAGCGCTTGCATTATCTATCAGAAGAGTTGGTACATCAAATAGTGCGGAGAAATTTCATTAAATAAGCGACTCAACCAAACAGCGTCTTTAGCAGCCTCACTGGCAGCTACATATTCCGCTTCTGTCGTCGATAATGAAACACTTTGTTGTCTTCTACTTGTCCATACAATAGCACCACCGCAGAACTTGAAAAGTACTCCACTTACTGAGCGACGCGTATTAGGGTCACTTGCATAATCGGCATCACAGTAGGACTCTAATTCTTGAAAATTTCCAGTAACAGTATAGCAAATACCAAAATTAATAGTACCTTTCAAATACCTTAAAATTCTCTTTACCATTGTCCAATGCTGCTCTTGAGGGTTTTCTACAAATTGCGAAATATAATTCACAGCAAAGGCAATGTCAGGTCGTGTAGCTACTGTCAAATACAATAAACTATCTACCGCTTCTCGGTAAGGGGCATTAGTTCGTTCAGTATTTAGTACTTCCCCTGTCAGTTGACATCGTTCAATAGGAATCGATACAGGATTTGCATAAGTCATGTTATATTTCCGAAGAAGTCCTTTAGTGTAATTTCTTTGGCTTATAAAAATTGACCCATCATCGAAACGATCAATTTGTATATTCAGGAAACTTCCAACAACTTTATCAATAGTTATTTTAAATTCTTCCTTCAATTTTTCCAAGAAATCTTCAATGATTTCTTGTTTCGTGGCAGCAACAAGACCATCGTCAACATAAAGAATAACCAACAACTTATCATTTTCATTTAGACGAAAATATAAACATGAATCGGCTTTGCTCTCTTGTAATCCAAAAGAAATTAGAACATCCTTGAAACGTTTGTTCCAACATCTTGGTGACTGTTTTAAACCGTAGAGACCTTTTCTTAATTTGCAAACTTGTTGACTACCATCCTCATAACCTTCAGGTTGCTGCATATAAATTTCTTTATCAATGAATCCATATAAGAAAGCAGTTTTTACGTCAAATTGAGCTAATTTTAACCGTTCCTTTGCTGCAATACTCAAAAAAATTCGAATAGTATCAAAACGTACCACTGGACTGAATGTTTCTTCATAATCAATGCCCTCTCTCTGATTGAAACCACGAACAACCAATCGTGCTTTATACCGAGCAATTTCTCCAGTACAATTTCGCTTGATCTTGTAAACCCAACGATTTGAGATGGTTTTTTTACCTTTCGGTAAGTCAACCAATTCCCAAGTTTGATTTTCTTCAAGCGAGTCCAATTCCTCTTTCATTGCTTTATTCCAGTGTCTCTGTTCTGCAGTTTGTATTGCTTCAGAATAACATTTTGGTTCTTCTATTTCAGCCATCATAATGTCTAGCAATCGCTCTGGCGCTTTTAATGTTGTACGATCACGCAATTGTCTTTGTTCGTCAACATCATCTATATCTTCCGCAAATTCTGTTAGAGGTATTATATCGTCAACCTGATTAACGGGTACATCTACCGGAAGTGGTACTACTTCATTTCTTTCGTGACTGTTACCATGACTATGATTTTCATTTGGAAATAAAGTTAACAATCTTCCAGTCAATTCCGGCCCAAAAACTACATTTTTGCTGCGTTCAATTTTGTTTTTTTGATTTGAACCAAATCCGAAATCCGTCCACGTTATCAGAATACCCAACAAAAATTCCACGTTTTCCTTTTTTATCCCATATCTTTCGCTTTACATTTGGTACATGTACATAGCATTCTGTACCAAAAATGTGAAAATTATTTAAGTGGATATTCTTACCAACAAACAATTCATAAGGTGTTTGTCCAGGAATACTACTCTGTCCAGTACGATTTAGAATATAAATAGATGCATTTACAGCCTCAGCCCACAACTGTTTCGGTAAATTCTTGGCAAGAAGCATTGTCCGGGCAAGTTCAACGACAGTCCTGTTTGTCCTCTCTGCACAACCATTTTGTTCTGGACTATATGGATTCGTAACCGACAATATTATACCATTCTCCATCATAAGTTTCCGCACTTCAGCGTTATCGAACTCCAAACCACCGCCGCATTGAAAAATTTTTACTGCTCTCCCAAGTTGATTCTTCACAACTTTCAACATCTCAGCAATTTTTCTTACAGTCTCGGATTTTTCTTTGAGAAAATAAACAATACGCATTTTCGAATAGTCGCAAGTAAAACACAAAAAATATTTTGATCCTCCTAATGAAAGGCATTCCATGGGACCGCAAATATCAGCTGCTATTACTTCTCCTGGTTCGGTTGCACGTTGCTGACGTTTCAAAAAATTACTACGATGCTGCTTGCCTTCAACACAAGCTCCGCAAAAATCGTCACCCTCAATGAATCCAATTTTGTGCTTCTTTAGCAACTCTTTCACGTGACACTTGTTTTGATGGCCCAATTTTTCATGCCATATCTGCAACGTCTCTTTAGATGAAATATTTGCTTCACTTACCATTGGAATTTTTGGTGGCTTTATGCAGATGATCATTTTGAACAACTGGACATTCTTACACCACAAGCTTTTGTAACTCCTCCTTTTAAAAATGAACACTCTTTGTTAGTTGAGCTAAATGACATTCCCTTGTCCAAAGCAGACGTCACAGAAAAAAGATTTCTTCGTGCTGTTGGTACATACAACACGTTTTCCATGTGACATGCGTTCCATATTCCATTGACTAGAGCATCAAACTGTATAGTTCCTTTGCCTAGGGCATTCATCGTAGATTTGTCCCCAATGTAAATCTTAACAGGTTCTTCAAATAATTCAAATGAAGAAAAAACATTCCTTGCGATGTGTGATATGATCCGTTGCTCCAGAATCAACAATCCAGACATCATTTTCTTCAGCACTAAGAACTTCTCCAACAAATGCTTCAGTTTTTGAAAAATTTTCCGCTGGAGTTTTCTTATTTTCGGTTTTCTTTGGACAATTATTTCGAAGATGGCCTAAAACATTGCATCGGTGGCATCGTACCTTAGAAATATCAAATTTCTTAACATTTCTACGTGAAGACTCACCAGATGTACTGTAGTTATAACTTTTACTATGGTTTTTCTTACTAGCCATAAGTGCAACTAACTCATCTTGTTTTTCAATTCGCTGTATTTGTCGCTTGTCTTCCGTTGTCAAAAGTTCCACTAGATTGTTGAAAGTTTGCTGGTTTTCTGACCTTGCCCACCAAGCTTGTCGTAAACTTTCAAATTCATCAGGAAGTGAATCTAGTAATTTAACAACAATTGATGACTCGTCTGGTTTTACATTTAATTGCTGCATCTGCAAAATTAATTGTTCAAATTTGGCAATATGATGTACCATGTCATCAACTGGTTTTTTTTGAAATACAAAAAACTCTGACTGTACAATATGTGCAGCTTGCTTGGTCTGCTGTTGGTAAACTGAATGTAGTTTCAACCACATTTCTTGTGCTGTTTCACACGCAACCAGCAACGCTAATACCTTAGAATCGATTGTTTTTTACAATCAGCTGACTCGCTGCGCGATCCGCCTTATCCCAAGCTTTAAGCTGGCCTTATATTCAGCTCGATCGGCGTCTCCTGCTTCCTCTCTCAAAGGAGCTGGCTTCCCAATTTCGCCGATGCATACCTCATATGCTCCATCTATTCCTCGAAGTAAACTTTTCACTGCAAACTTCCAAAGAATCCAGTTTTCCGTTCCTCTGAGTTTCTTGATCCCATGTACTTGAAGTTCCATTCCAAAAAGAAATTCAATGTCCAACTTCTTTTATAGGGAACCACGCTCTGCTACCATGTTGAAAAAATCGAGACGACGAGAGACGATGAGATATTCAAGATGATTTTAATAAAAAATAAACGTACAGTTTTTTTATAACAGTCAACAATCAAATCTATTTATTTGACACACTGAAACCTTGATCTAACGAATTTAATGTTTTTCTTTTCAACAGTTTGTACAGGCGTACTACTTGCTGCTTGCAGACGACACCTATTTATTCTTAAACCAGTAGGCTATATCAGTCTGCGCATGCGCAGAACTAATTTTCTTATTTATGAATCGATTTTACTAAAATTTTAACAGTGGCACCTGTTAATAAAAGCAAATCGATCTATTATTTTGAGAATGGTTTGTGTAATGGTCTTACTCTAAACAAAATGCGTCCGTGTGGATATATAGATCTGCTTCATTTCTTTGTTCGCAACTACCTAACCTTTGCGAGGTACACTCCGCTCTCTGTGAACAATGAGGAGCACTGATTATATCACTGATTATTTTTGTACTCAGCTCTGGAGGTCTTACACTACCATGCGCAAAATATCGAATTCGAATGATATTCCACAAGTGTGGCGTGAACATTGGTCCCTACAGCACTTCTTCGTATGTAGGTACATTACGAATTTATTATACATACTTCGTTCAACTTTATTACCGCTACGCAATAACCTCCTGAGACATTTCGGAGAATTCTTCTATCTGCTTCATTTTTTCATAATAACCAGTGTAGCAACGGAATTGAATGCGTTTTAAATATACAACGAAATGATGATTATAGACTTTTATCTCTACCATTACTTACTCTCTATCGGATTATTTATTGTTTGTACACAACGTCAAAGGAAAACATTGGGGGAGTAACCACTACCTCGACCAACATCGCATACAACCGTTTTAACTTCAGGTATTTTCCAGGTGATACACTTATTAAAGAATTCAGCTTGCTATGTGACCGAGAACATCTCACTAACGTCGCCGATATGACATTTTTGGCTGGAGTGGCTGTTGGTGGGCTCGTTGGTGGAATATTCTCGGACAGGTACGGGAGGAAACGAATGCTAATGTGCGCAGTTTTTTTGCAAGCACTTTTAGGTAATTATTGATCAGTTTATTTGGCATGATGTTTTTATCATTTAGATTTTCAGGCACGCTAATAGCTGTCACACCATGGTTTGAACTTTACGTTATATTAAGAACTATATTGGGATTTATATCGGTTTCAGTTGTGTTCAGCGGTTTCGTACTTACTGTTGAGATCGTTGGAGGAAAATGGAGAATAGTGTCTGGAGTTGCGTACATGTTTCCTGTAGCACTATCGTACATTATGATTTCGGGAATCGCTTGGTTGCTTCCCCATTGGAGGCATCTGCAGTTTGCCATATCACTCCCCGGATTTTTATTCGTTGCTTTGTGGTAAGTATGTTATTAGCGAGTTTGCGGACACGTATTTTCCGTTACGTTAGACGGCCATTTTTTCTTATGATATAACGTAAGGGAAATTTAGTGAAACGCGCTTGCGGATAAATTTATTGTTGCTGAAATTTGATTGGTTTACGTTATTTATAAACATAAGGTATAATAGTGTTATACGGTATAATTCTTAAGCTTTTTTACGTTATAAGATATAACGACAAGTTTTGTAACGTAAAATGTACATCCGCAAACTCGCTATTGACTTGCGATCAATGTGACGTATGTTTAGGTGGATTCTGCCAGAATCGCCTCTGTGGCTTTTAGCAATGGGGCGAACTCATGCGGTGCTGGAAGTTTTACGTAGCGCAGCTAAGTACAACAAAAAAGAACTACCTGATAATTTAGACAAGCAGTTACTTACCGAACCAGATTTACAAACAGAAAAGGCAAGCGTTTTTGATCTATTTAGAACTGGTAGAATGAGAAGAACCACCTTTTTGCTATGCATTATATGGTTTTCTTTGTATTTATTATATTATGGCATTGTTCTTAACTTAGGCAACATTGGTGGTGACTTATATGTTAATACGGTATGAAAGCAGATACAGTAGGAGTAAGGGAAGTTAATTCATTTGCACTTTTCAGGTAATATCTGGAATAGTTGAAGCGCCTGCAATTGCGATCAGCGTTCCGATTTTGTTGCGAATGGGAAGACGTTGGCCGTTATCTATAACGATGTTGATAACGGGTGTCTCCTGTTTGTTAACGCTACCGGTACCATACATTTTTAACAAACAATGGATAGTTACGACATTAGCTATGGTTGGAAAATTTTCGATTAGTTCAACTAACGTTATTGTACCAATATTCACTGCTGAGCTTTATCCAACGACCATCAGAAATATCGGAGTTGGGGCCAATAATGTCAGTGCCGGTATTGCTCTGATATTAGTTCCGTTTTTATGGGATTTGGTAAACAATCGTTTTCTCATAAATATGAATGATGCACTAATTGTCTTTCAGAAATATTTACATCCGACTGTTCCCATGGCACTATTAGGTGCCTGTGGCGTAATTGGCGGACTGACAGTTCTGTTTTTACCGGAAACAAGTAATCTTCCATTAGACGCTACAATTAAACAACAGCGTAGCGGAAGAAGAATGTCTTGTACACGAAAAGTACCCAAAAGAGTATCCGCATAGTAGATTAATTAAACGCGATTAGGTTTACCTGTGCTGTGAATCACACAACTGAAGTACAACTTAGAAAATTATAGATTTATTGACAACAGTTTCGCACAACCGGAACTAATGCAGTATTTTATATTAGTTATAAAATTCCACAGTGGCATCATCCCTCATGGGATTTATTGTTATTAAACGTGCCATCTTTAGTAAAAACGTATTCCGTTTTTCAGTAAATTTTTTCAATTTTTGTCCAGTATGGCACACTTTTTGTTTAGAATTGCAGAAAAGCAAAATTCGCTTGCGATTGGCACCTTGCCTTACCAAACTATTATCAGGTGGAATGTTTGGGGTAAGTACATTATGAATCAACTTTGAGCCTTTCATTGACCCACGTTAATCCTGCAGTAAACATCCTTGTCACACTTTTATCTAAAGTAGGTGACAAATTTCATTCAATGAAATAATCAATTAAATAAAAAAATCGGGTAACCTCCCATTGAATGTTTGAAGCGAACGTATAATTAAATAAACTCAATCTAATGACCAACATATGATATCAATGCCATACAACATAATTATGCATTTATATACGCCAAATTTCAGTTTGTACGCATAAATAACTCTTATCAAAAAATTGACTGTTATCCTGTTCCGGTTTACTCAGAAACACGACCTAATTGTTTATGTTGATTTTCTATACCACCTACGCGTAAAAATAGGAATAGAAAGCACATTTCAGATTATTTCACTTGCTAGCATTTCCAAATTTTTATGGATTGTCATTGTCAATTTTCAGTAAGCCAACACGGATTTGGCATAAGTAAATTACACAGGGTGTCAGAAAATTGTTTACTGATATCGTCGATGTGGAGAATAAATACGTATATTACAACCATATTGTCCCACTACACGTGGTCTGGCCGCTTAAATTTGTCGGTGCAAAGGCCATAAATAGTGCGTGTATCTACCTACCACATACTAACTTATTGGCTAAGGAAATGTAGGGATGCTGTGGCAGCACTGTGGAAGGACCAAAAAGTTACTGCAGTTCACTTTCAAGAAAGTTATGTTAAACATATTCAAAGGTTAAACATAAACATAGACGTCGATTAAGTTAAAAAGTGCCTTATATTTTACAATATGGCAAATTGTACGCTCTGGCAGGGCGCCGTAGGATTTTTGTCATTTTGATAAAAATGAAAAATGACAATAATAAATTACAGAAACTAATTACCATGGTCTAGTAAAATATTGTATACTTCCGATTGTGCTTAATTGATTTTAAGGTAGGTACTTACGTTCTTAAATAAAATGAGATACCCATGTCGAGATAGTATATGCCGGTTTTTCTTCTTGTACATAATTGTATTCTTTAACTAGTCAATTTATCTTAGTTTTTGTATTTGTCTGTAGAGTAGTTGCTTGTGTGTATATTTTTATATGTAATTTCATACCTTTAGAATAAGCTCCAATTATGATTCCATTGTCAGTGATAAATCCGAAAATAAAATCTGTATCAAAACGATGCCTTGGGATGCATTACGAACATAATTACGAAATGAAATAAGCAACAGCATTTATTCCTAACCCTCTTCTACTCCTTGTTATGTGATGGTTTTGTCCGTCCGTCTGTCTGTTCAGTCGTCTAACTCGAGAACGAAAAGAGACAGTGGTGCCAAACCTTCTCCAATCGATTTCTACGAATTCAAGGATCAGCGCTATTGTATATATGAGCCGGGTTAAAAGTTGTGTTTCCGAATGCGAACTGAGTGTCAAAAATGATCCCATACTGAAAATCGTTTGCGATTCTTCGTATCTTGTTTATATACGTATCGTACCCTGGTCGAAACTAGCAGACATCCTATGTTTATTTGTAGTCCCATTCGGAAGTCTTCTTAAACTTTAATTGTTTATTGCCCAATGAATTAAATACTTACGTCAGTTAACTTCTCCTTGAAAGTGTTATTCTCTCGTAGCGAGTCGGTATATTGGTCGTCTTTTCATTACATTGGGGGAGTGTTTATGTCCGATCCATATCTTTAAGTTTTAGGGTAATTTTTTGAAAGAAAAAGAATCCCCTTGTATGATGCTATTGTTCGTCTGTTTCTCTGTCCGTCTATTCCTCGTCTAACTGGTGAACGAAAAGAGATAGCGATGCTAAACTTTCGCCAATCGATTTCTACGAGTACAAGGATTAGTGCTAATATGACCCGGATTAAAAGTCTGGTTTCCTAGTGCGAGCTAAGTAGCCAAAAAATCCCCTACTCAAAATCGTATGCGATTCTTCGTATCTTGTTTACGTTAAGGTAGCTAATTCCATTTCAATTCTTATTGCAAATGCGGGATGGTGGTGGATGATATTGGCGAACTGTGATACTAATCTTAGTATCATGTTTGCGAATCATTTTTTGTTTCGGTAAAAACTGGGCTAGCCTAATTTTGATTGTGAAAAAAAGAGGAAACTTGTGAAGGAAAAATGTCGGAAATAATCTATAAGCTGAATACTCGTTGGGGATCTAGTTCTGGTTGTCGGGAGAGGGGAGATGCTGTTTCTGAAAGTGAAACGTACATATCAGATTTTGCATACGCCTGCTTCTATAGTGGTACCCAATAAAACTTTTGAAACTGGGAGAAGGGGGTTAAAGCATGTTTTGCTCTTCATGGTATTCAAATGAAAGGTCTCTCAAGAATTGGTTTTTACAAACTCTAATTTCCCTCTGCGATTCCTTAGCGATTAGTGGGGAAGGGGGTGCCACCCACAGTCCTCCTGCTCGACGGCTAATAGTGATCGGTTATAATTCCTCATACCTCAAGAGCAAAATGTCGAAGAAAGATACTCACAAAGGGCAATTAGGACGTGTGGAAGAAATATATCCACTGGTGATGTCAAAACTGAGTAATTATATATCGAAAACAGTGTGTTGGACAAGAGTACCTACTCACAAAGGCAAAATGAATCACCTGGACGGGTCATATCTATTGGTTCGATACAAATATCTCGAAACGAAGTGTCGGAAGAGAGTAGGTACTCATAAAGGGCCAGTGGAACGCCTGAACGAGACACATCTGTCGAAACCTAAGTGTGAATATCTTGAAAATTGAGTGTCGCAGAAAGGGCTTCATTCTTCTTTCCATTCCTGTTAGAGAATGTAGGACCTGATTTGAGGACGTAGTGCGTGGTGGTTCATATGAGACCCTCAAACATCGCATACGGCCAGAATGTGCAAAATAAGCTAAAATGTGACACGAATATTGCGATTGAATGAGTTAATAATTGACTGTAGTGATTCATTCTTTTGAATTATGGATCATTCGTTCAGGAATTATGTTTGAATCCAGAGGCGAATCTACTACTACTACCTAATAGCCATATCCCCAAGGGCTGGAGGAAAGTGTAGACGTGGTTTTCATAAAGCAGGCAAACGGCCCAGGAACCAACCCAAGAGCTTAAGCACGTATCAGTCTATCGTCCTTTATCCTTACCTCATCTCTAAGATTGAAAAAAGCACGCTGGATACAGAATTGGCCTTAGTCTGTCTCATGGACATTGAGGGGGCATTCAACTACCCTACATTATGACTCCATTGATGAAGCAGCAAGAATCAAAGATATCGAGCTTTTACACAAAGTTTTTCTTAAAGCCATGTTAGAAAGCAGGGCGATTAAAACTATAGATTGGGATCGGAAACAGTCCTTGGGGCCGAGAGCAGAGGTTGTCCGGAAGGAGGTGTCGCCTCTCCTCTGGTGGTTAGTCACGGACGGACTGATAAACCTCCTAGCCGGTCTAGACTTTGTCTGCGTAGCCTATTTAGACGACCTAGCAATTTTTGTGAAAGGCAAACAGGAAGCCACTTTGTATGACCTAATGGAGTATGCCCTTGCTACAGTGCAGGAATGGTGCCTCACACGGGGGCTGCACGTGCACCCGGAGCAAGATACAAACAGTCGCCTTTACGAAGAGAACAAGACTTAGTCTTCGAAAGCTACGATTGGGCATGCGGGAGTTGGAGTACACTTGAGAATACAGATACTTAGGAGTCGTGCTGGACAAGAGGTTAACTGTGGCAGCCTCACATCTACATGGCGTTCAACAAGGCTACCACGGCCTTAATCAGCTATCGACGACTTATCGGGAGGAAATAGAGACCAAATTCCCGCCTCTCCTTCTGGCTCTACAGCATTGTAATTCGACCTATCTTGACCTACCTGGTGGTTCAAAGCAGAAGCAAAAGCAGCCCAGGGTCACCTAAACAGGCTGCAACGAATAGCCTTTCGTGTGAATATTTACTGGAGCAACGACCACTACAACTATAGCGGCCATGGACGTTATGTTGGGCCTCCTCCCTCTTCACCTAGTGGTGATTAAGGAAGCAGGGAGGGGACCTTTGAAGTGTACAAAAATTAACATTTCTGAGTACAGGATTTCAGACTACCTTAACCCCGAATATCGCCACGACAGACCATTTAAAGTGCTGATTCGGGATAAAGAAGTCTACAATTTGAGGAAGGAGCCTTATGCTAGTACACAGATAACAGATGGCTCCAAGTCGAAGGAAAATAGGCATAAGAGAGCCGAATTACGATCTCTCAATGGCTTTAGAATCCACTCCTATAGTACCTATGTCAAGTAGAGGTTATAGATATTGCCGGGTTTGCCATTGCCATAGGCCATTGTAGCCAAAAGGCTGTTCGGACAGTCTCAAAGCTCTAGCAGCTTTTCCCCGGACCTGTAAGCTGCTCGTGGAATGGCACACAACATTAGTAGAAATTGCTAGGCGTAATCGTGTGGGTGCCAAGCCATGAGGGGATAGCCGATAATGTGAATCGCCTCATTAAGGCCGGCACTAAACATCCCCAAATCCGACCGGAACCAAAGAGTATTCTTTGCCGGAACCCTACTGTGGGGCGCCAGCAACTCTATCTGGAGGAGTGATAGAAGCCAGCTCAGAAAAGAGGGAAAACCTGTATGGGAGTCACCCCTGCACTAAGAGAATCCAAGAAGCCAGCCAGTTTGCCGGAGACTAAAACCAGCTAGTTGCTAGCACTCAGTAGGAGTAAACTATCTGCTGGCGTGAGGATCCAGGCAGAGATCACAAAACCTGGACGAGCTTGCAAATAGCACCTCAGCAGATCAGGGAGTTGCAGCTGGAAAGGATTCTTAGATTTTTTTTAACAAACTGTCTCTCTCGGAGTAAGACACTAGCCCAACCCACGGGAAAAAAATACTTTATCGAAATGGTATAATTTCAATATGGCGCTAACTAAAACAATAATAATAGTTCTCGACAGTTCCTAACATATTAACATTTGTACATAATTCGCTTAAATTTTAATTTGACCACTATACGCGTTCTTTGAGGGTTTAAGCAAAGGTCCCTTTTGAGGTACATCTTCAAGCGACAGATCTTCATCTAAAGGATCGCATTTATTTCCCGTTTCATACGAATATTCTCGCCTCGTTCCTTCTGGATCGATATATCCGTATTTTCCGCGTATAATACAGTCCGCCCCAATTGTCTCTTCCTTAAACGTGCCATCTTCGTTTTCAAATCCCCAAGTTATACTACCGTCCTCGTTGTCGTTACGATATTTACGTAAGATTTGTACGGGCGGTTTACGATTTTTATTGCGACGTCCGTCATCTTCCTCGTGATGGTGTTGTTGAACGGGCCTTGGATTTGCCACAACTCGCACTTTTTGCCTGATTTGTTGTTGAGAGGCTTGAATCTGAAAAACACTGTTAAAATTGAGTTAATATTCGTTAACCATACCTGTGGTGGTGGTACCGGTAGTTGTCTCGCTGGTTGACGTAGTACTGGCGCCTCATCATCTAAGTGTCTTAAATTTGGTCGAGGTGCCGGAAGCGGAATGGGACGCTCCGGTCGAAATTGAATAGGTTTGAGCGGCGGTTCATCTTCGGAGTATTGCTTAAGGGTAGCTAGTTGCGGAGGTATGTTGGGCCTGCCGAGATCATCGTCTCCGTCTAAACTTTGATCATCTTCATTATCTTCACGAATGGGTATAGATATTGGAAGTGCATTGGCGATTGGCTTCCGTATACGTACAGCAAGTGGTATATTGTCTTGATTTAATCTGTGTGGCCTTAACTGCGGCCTATTGGGTTGAACTAAAATAGCACCTGGTACTGTTATTCTAGGCGGAAGTTGTGCTTCGACCCATGAAACTGTAAGCACTGCCTGCAAAATGGAAGGATTTTACTTTAAAAACATATTTTTTTCCTAACTTCAAAGTACGTCTAATAGTGCAATATTTTTAGCGCGTTTTCCAACTCATGTTGGAAGGCGTTATTATGGCCACTTTCTCCGTCCGTCTGAGACCTTAACTACTCCTACAGTTTTCAAGATAATTAGTTTGTTCTTTTTGCATTCGGCAGCTTATAACTGTGGCACTTCAAGCAATAAAAATGTTGACGAATAACGTGGGCATGGCCAAACTGCGCAATGTCGTCTTTCTTATTTGTAATTTTAACCAAAGATTCTTCTAGTAAAGACAAACATATCGCAT